GTGGAGCCACAGGCTGTCCCAGCTCCCGAGGCCTCTGAGATTGGTCCTCCCTGTGGGTCCAGGAGTGCCAGCTCCCGGGCCCCTGCGGGGGTGCGGGGGGATCCCCTTTCTGTAGTCTCCTGTCTCCTGAGGCTGTGAATACGGGCGCCTCCTTCTGACCTGGTCCTCTCAAGTCTGGCTGTGTCAGTATAATGTCTGCCCAAGCTCCCTGAGCGGGGCTCACACCAGCCTCACCGAGGGAGCAGGAGGTATCCGTGTTCCTTAAGGGCCCCCCAGGCGGGGGGGTGCTGGGAGCCCCCACTGGGAGCTCCTATCTGAGCGCAGGGCTCAGCCTCAGCTGCAGGCAGTCACTCGGACCGGCTGTGGCTCTGGTTCCAGATGCACAGTTTGAGGTCCTGGCTTGGGGGCCAGCCTTTCCCTCCTGTGAGATGGAGGCAGCTCCCAGCTTCATTCTTCTCCTTGGGGCTCCTGCCCCTCTCCTCTAGGCTTCAGTATCCACCCTGTCCCCCCAACACCTCATCCAACTCATTCCCCAAATCTTCCGTTCCTAGCTTCCTAGCGAGGAATAGGCCTGGGCATTTTTGTCTGTCTTAGAGCTTTAAGATCAGGAATATCATCCTCACATGTTCAGGCCACTAGGCAATGGAGGACCTGGGAGGGAGGGAAGGACCAGGTCTCCTCACTGACCTGAGATGTCATCGTGCAGCCTGTGGGAGGGCTTGACGTTTTACCAGGACAAATCGAGGTCTGAGGAATGTCTTTGGTCACCTGTCCATGCGCGTGCGGAAGTGGAGTTTGGAAGCGTGAGAGCACGGGATAGGGGGGTAGGGAGGACGGGGTGGGGCGGGGGCTCCTTGCTCGCTGGGCCTTCCTCTGGGGAGTCTGGACGTTGAGGCGCCTGCAGTCTTGGAGGGAGCTCCTGGCTGGGGGCCAGGGTGGACTCTGAGCCTTAAAGGGGCCCTTGACTGGGCCACAGCTGAAGGTCAGTGTGCAGGGCTTGTGGTCTGGTCTCATGTTCCTCTTCTTTTCCCGTTGTCCTCCCTTAGCTTTAAATCTGGCTTAAACATTCCAGCTTCCTACAGGCTCTGCTGTGTGGTTTTAATGGAAGAGTCGTATATCTGTGGTCTGGTCTGAAGACTAAAAGAATGGACCATTGATTCTTCTAAACTAGATCAAATAGCAAGAAGTCACTCAGGGGAAAACTGAATCCCCATGGACATAGTTGGGGGAAAGGGGTCCGTCTGCATATTCATCCCTGGGCCAGGATTCTCCCGCTGTTGCGCTCCTAGAGGACCTAGGGCTGCTTTGAGGGGAGGAGGGGCAATTTCCTACTCACAGGGGCTGCAGGGGCAGCTTTGAGAGACGGCACACTTGAGGTTAGAAATGTGGGGAGAGAAGGAGTCGCAGATTATTTGGTGATATTGAGGCTGGGGAATTTGAAAGGTGACTGGTCCTCTCAAGTCTGGCTGTGTCAGTATAACGTCTGCCCAAGCTCCCGGAGCGGGGCTCACACCAGCCTCACCGAGGGAGCGGGAGGTACCCATGTTCCTTAAGGGCCCCCCAGGCGGCCCCCCAGGCTGCGGGAACTGGTTGGGGAAAATGCTAAGTGTCATTGCTGTCATGTTGAGTTTGTCACCGTGGGGAGTGTCATCAGAGAGTCACATCATTCCTCCCTGGTTACTTGGGAATGAAATCTACACACACACACACCCACACCCACACCCACAGATCTTTAACATCCTTACCCCAAACCATTATCACAACCTTCTCCCAGCCCTCCCCCCTTACTCCCACGAGCTCTCTGGACCACTTGCTCTGCCTCCCCCCTCAAATAATTTCCTGCCTTGCCCAGATTTATAGTTCTAAATATTCAGTCATCACCGATGCTCTCTGCCTAGTGTGGCAAGAAGACCAGCTCCTTTTTCCAAGTCCCCACCCTCACCCTCTAGCACTCTCGAGAGCCTGCCGGCATTCTGTGCTCACTCATCACTGGTGCTGTGCTGTGGGCTCCCTCCTGGGAGTGAATGAAGTCAGCTTTTGGCTGGTGCTTGCTA